CACTGATCTGAACGTGGGCTGGCTCTACTGCTGAGCACGAGCAAGGGCTATGGGTCTGAACGTGGGCTGGCTCTACTGCTGAGCACGAGCAAGGGCTATGGGTCTGAACGTGGGCTGGCTCTACTGCTGAGCACGAGCAAGGGCTATGGGTTTGAACGTTGGCTGGCTCTACTGCTGAGCACGTGCAAGGGCTATGGGTCTGAACGTGGGCTGGCTCTACTGCTGAGCACGTGCAAGGGCTATGGGTCTGAACGTGGGCAGGCTCTACTGCTGAGCACGTTTAAGGGCTATGGGTCTGAACATGGGCAGGCTCTACTTCTAGCATGGACACCTGAGCACGAGCAAGGGCTATGGGTCAGAACGTGATCCAGCTCTGAGTTGCTGTTAGCTTCACCTTCCTTCCGTGTCCCAAAGGCATACCGTCCAGGTGAAACGGTGACACTAAATCACACGGCACGGCGTGACCGGTGTCCCGTCCGGAGAGTACCCCCTCTTACACCCCGGTAAAGCACTTATTGAAAATGGATGGGTGTTGTTCTTGGCGTGATGCATATTTGACTCTTATTAGTCATTCAGCTTTGCGGTATCGGGTCCGTTCACTTAAGATGCTTTGGCATCAGCTGCCTGCTTCTGCTGTGAGTAATGGGACCCAGCCGTCTGCGGGCCACACTTTCCTGATCACCGCCGAGCAGTCATTTGCCGAGACGGGTATTTAATCTCGTCCCATATTCATAGCGCTCGCAAACCCTCGAAGACCTTCCTTAATTGACAGCCTACCCTTTAGGACAAAACAACATTAGCATTTGATCGTCAGACTTGAGCGGCACGGGCAGAGCGACGGTGAATTGATAGTTTGCCTTGATTGTTTCATCTTATTTATGAGGTGTAATTTATGACACCTGGCGGGCGGAGCTGAGTGACGACGGACCGCAGGCAGTGCCATAAATCAGGGCCCGGCAAAGCGCTAATGATTAGGATCGAGCCGATTGAATTAACCGCTGCCCTCAGAAATTACAAGTACCAGGAAGGCCTTTTAACGTGGGGCGCTCGCTGACTGTGCTCTGAAGAGGCAGGGCACCGGACGAGGTGGAGCGACTCGGCTGGTGGGGGATTTTACTGCCATTTACGAGGTTTCCAGTATGCCACTGCTTTTAGGCCCCCTGTCCAGGGTTTCCATGTGGCCACGTCCTTCACACTGTGTTTTGGGAGATGCAGTGTTCTACAATAAGAACCACTGTAATGGCTGAGTATGTTTGCACAGGGGGAATTTGTCTCCAGTCGCTCTCATACCTGCAGTAGAGAGAGAGACAGTTAAGACAAGAAAATGGTCACATAGAATGTGGCTGATAAGTGCATGAAAAGTGCAGGAGTGCATGTCAGTGTAAGGAAAGTGGGAGTAAATTTAGCAGGAAGTAGGAAAAACCTCCTCAAGGTGTTGAGATTCATTTTCTAAATTTTATGTATAGCTGTTAGTCCACAGTGTAGGAGTGCATCATGGTTCCTCCTCTAGGGCATAAAAGTTTTACTTCCTTTAGTATTGTGCAGTATTTTCCTGTGAATGGAGTATGCTGTTATATAGTGTAATCCTGTTCCTGTTTGCGGTTATATAGTACATTACCGACAACCAAGAATCCTGTCATGCAGTATTAACCTCTTACTATTAATAAAGCATGCTGTCATATATTATTATTCTGTTCTTTCACTGACATGTAGTACTTCACTGTTAATAAATAATTCTGTTTTGCACTGTTATCATATGCCTTTGATGTTGGTCAGGGGTTTTCTGTTAGTAGAGCAGACCGTTACAAAGTATTATCATGTTTGTTTCTTTATCCAGTGATAGTTCTGTAATATATTGTGATATATGAAGTTAGGATTGCATCGTCCAAGCCTGCAGTACCTATGTATTGCACATCAGCGTGAAGGCCGTTTAAGATGAATCCGTTTCATGCTGTTCACTTTTGACTTTTGGCAGAAGTGCCTGTCTTCAATTTTGTTATTGTTGCCCCCTACAGAACCCTTGAACTAGTGGAGATAAGCAGTGTCTGCATCTACTTTATTAAAGTGTGTCAATGAGTGCCCAGAGATGGCATATTTTTATTTTGCTGTAATTACCATAATTAAATCTGTAGTTAGTCTTTTCCTGACACAAGGACACATGGGAGAAGAGGGGGGGTTGCTTCTCTAGCTTCCGGGCAGGGAAGAGGGGCTCACCTTCGACCTTTTCATTATTCAGCACAGCCAAAGTCATCCCCAGACTTCTTCTTGCAGCTATCTAGTGCTGTTGTTCAAACTCAGGGCAAGAAATCTCATATCGAATAATCAAGCGATGAACAATCTAGGACATGGCAAAAAAAAGACTGCAGAGAGCTTTTACAAAAATAAAAGTAACAAAAATGACTACAAGGCCCCACCAGACTTAAGCTAAGCCTGTCGTTTGAGGGCATGTTTGTGATTCTACGTCTAAAATCAGGCCTACCTGTACTCCTTAAAGGACACATATAAGAAATAAATAATAGATGTAACGTGCGAGTAACTGGGGCAAGAACCATAACAGTATGTTGTTTCTTCACAATAGAGTTCAGTGGAAGCATTTTCAATATGTTTAATCTGTATTTGATTTAATTTGTTGGTTGTTGGTGTCAAACCCTGTTTATCAACGTGATCGGAGCTGAAGTTAAAGCTGAGATTCCCACATGATCAAACCTCCATCCTGCCGTCATCTTGGGCCTCCGTGCAGCCCCTGAACCTGCCCCTCCCTCCTCTGTGACCTTTTCTGCATCTGGGTGACAAGATGGCCTTATGGTGACCCTCCACAAGTGCTGACACACGCATGCTGGCACCGGGAGGCCGAGGCCCGACAGGAATGTGAATTCCTGTGACGCCTTCTGCAGTCCCTGTGTATTGCCACTTAGATCTATCATCCTGATTGATCACAGTGTAATTGCCTATTATTGAGGCTAATTTAACCCTATATGCTGGTACATCCATCTGCCGCCTCTGTTACTTCTGACAACCGACAAATTACTTACTCATGCAAATCCAGACCTGGGCTGACCTTTTATGGAATTCGTGTGTAATTATACAAATGCTCCTCGATAAATAAGATTACCTCACCTTCCATGTGTTCGTCTGCTCGCTGATGAAGGTGAAATCTAATTTTCATGTAGATTCGTTCGAGGGACTTCGTTTAATAGGTGCTGATGTTCGTCTATTATTCATGCCGACAATGCTTCGTTAAGACAAACCCGTGTGGGTGGTTAATGGCTGGTTTCCATCCAGCGATACGGGCCTGAGCGGTGCGCTGCATGCGGAGGTCAGCCTGTGCGACTCGGAGGATGTGCGGTTAGGGTTCTGCCTGTCTCCATACTCCCAGCCTGCCAGCTGCATCTACTCCTTTACCCAACTCCTCTGTAGTGTGACTGGCTGCACCGATTCCTCAAACCAGTGTTCCTTGACTCTCCACATTTTTGCTTCCTCCCTGCTCCCAGCTCACCTGTACCAGGTATTCGGTGTTCGGCTCAGAGCTGGGAGGGAGCAGAAATGTGGACTTTCTGGGGGCCCCTGGGGACAGGGTTGAGAAACGCTATCTTATCACACCTGGATACCAGTAGGGGGAGATGGTACATGACCTGTCCCAATGGGTAGAGGTGGCCAAGTGATGTGAGAGACCGTCCACTCAGGCTTGTTTCCTGTACTGTGGTTTGTTATGGTGTTCATCTTCAAAATGAAAGCGAACAGTTCCACAAGAGTGCTTCCTGTCACTTACCAGCATTCTTTTCTTCAGGTGTGGGCAGTGAATTCTGCAGGCCGTGCCGGAAGCCCATGGGCCGGGGGACAGTCTGGACCAGCTCCCCCTGAGGGTGTGCTCGCACCAAGCTTCCTGCAGATCCATGCCACATCAGCGGTGGTGGAGATCACCCCGCCCACCCAGCCGAACGGACCGGTCGGCCTGTACAGGGTGCTAGCTGAGAGTGAGGACGCACAGCTCCTGGTACGGCCGCCATCCAGTCTGTCAGCGCCACTGGCTTTCTCAGTACCTGAAAAACACAACAGGAACTATCAGCCAAATTGCCAGGTCGCCCTGGTTCTGCTTGTCGTCTTATTGGCCACGTTTTTTCATTTTTGTTGTGTTTGTAGCTCAATAAGTAGGGCATTGCAAAGGTCATGGGTTCAAATCCCCAGAAGCACACACAAGTTGTAACCCTTCCCTCTGCTTTATGTGGGCTTGAATAACAGCGTCAGGTAAAGTAGTTAAAGGTATTTGTTGGCTGTTTTGTGGAGGTATTGAGGAGAGCGGTGACCCCCTACATATCCCCATTTTCTCCACCAGGTATCCGAAGGCACATCCCTCCGGCAAACGCTGCACGGCTTGCGCCCCTTCACACTGTACACTGTCAGGGTGGAGGTCTGCACCTGCCTTCAGTGCTGCAGCCAAGGTCCCCCCCGGGAGCTGATCACCCAGCCAGCAGCCCCGGCCCAGCAGCTGCCGCCCCGCACCCTCGCCATCAACTCACGCTCCACCCTGGTGGAGTGGGATGAGCCCCTCTCGCCTAATGGTGTCATCGAGAGGTACCCATATACACACGAGTGCTCTACCGACCCCGGTGACCGTTTGTAGGAACACAGCATATTATTCATCCATTAGAATTTATATGCCAGATATTCTTTGAAAACAGTGTTTCCCAACCCAGTCCTCAGGAACCCCCAGACAGCTCCCTGCCGGTAGGGGGGTCCCCAAGGACACTGCCCTAAATTCCCTATTAACAAAGTGAGGGACACCAGGTTTTAGACTGAGGTGCAACTGGATGGGCGTCATGCACATGAAGCAGTGGAGATCTTACAGACATCTGGTTACAGGATGTTCTGAGATGCTGGGAGTGGAATTGGTGATGCTGGAGAGACAAAAGGACTCATAGGCACTTCAAATATCATTCCCGTTGTACTTGCTGGTCGGGTTCGACTAGGGATTAGAGTAACAGTGGGAGTTCTTCCAAAAGTTATTAATATTAAACATATTAAATCTGTCATGCCGAATGATGCACCACCAGCATGTCCCCATCCTCTTCCCCCTCAGTCGGCAAGTTCTACCGGTCCGGCACAATGTAAACACATAGCCTGACCCGACCCGAGACGCTCTGAGTGCTCCATCCTGAGGTCAGACATTAGGGCAAGCCGTTTCCATGCTGATCCCGGGACCCCCGTAGCATGGGGGGAGACCCTCTCTGTGAGGGGTGGAGTGTTCCGTCCCCCGCGCTGCGCCAGCGGACCCGCCGTTTCCTTGCTGTTCCCGGGACCCCCGTAGCATGGGGGGAGACCCTCTCTGTGAGGGGTGGCGTGTTCCGTCCCCCGCGCTGCGCCAGCACCCCCCTCGGGCACCTTCCAGGAATGCGTTGGACGCGTGCCTGTTACCAGGTGCCTGTACTGAAATATGGGCCCGGAGTCTGGCCCAGATCCACGGCTGGACATGAGTGAGTGTCGGAGGAGCGGGCACTGCACCGTGGATCTCGCATGAAAGCGCTGCGTTACTGCCAAGCGCGAGCCCTACCTGCGATCAATCAGGGCCGAGCATTAAATGAGTAAGAAGCATATATCCCACAGTAATTCATATAGGCCAGTTATGGGAAACCCGTGTGGAGCAGAATGAAAGCAACTCATTTGTTTTATTACCTACAAAGGCTATTTTTTCTGAGTCTCTTTTTTTTAAATGGGGATTTCCAATTCAAAGTGACAAATTGGCATTTAGTGCGTTTACAAATCACCACCTCCTGACATCATCGGGGGTCGCTTCTGTTTCATCTCATTCCCGAAGTCCACAGAGAGCTGCGCTTCTGGTCTTTTTTTTTTTTTTTTTTTTTGCATTTCCTGATCTTGCCCAGTATGTTTTGACGAGTTCAACTTTGACAGAATGTATCAAATTGCATTAAAAGCCCCATTCTAGTGTATGAGCCTCAAATTGTCATGAATTCTCAGCACAATGAAAAGGTCAAATGTAACCAAGATGATGACATAACACATCTGCTTACTAGAGACTGAAAACTGAATAATAAATTATTATATATAAGCTAAATGTAATGACCGTCATATGGAATTATGGGATATCAAAGGAATCTCCCATTGTTATGGTGTATTTACAGCACAGTAAGAATGGCCTAATATGGCATTTTTTAAAGCACAACGCTTGTATTTCTGTTGTGTTTGCGGGCCAGGTCATGCCCCCTCCCAGCCTCATTCCCCTGTCTGTGCCCACCTCCCACAGCTGTGAGGTGCACTCCCGCACCTCCTGTCCGCAGCCCTTCCAGCCGGTGCCCTCCCCTTGCTCCCCAGGTACCTGGGAGATCAGCTACTTTGGCAGAGGGTGGAGCTTCAACGTCACGGGCCTGCGGCCGTACACCAGCTATGACGTGCGCGTGGTCTGCTACAACAACGTGGGCAGCACCGCTTCCAAGTGGACGTCCTTCACCACGCTGAAAGAGCGTGAGTGCGCCCAGTAGCGCGGTCCAGTCCTGCTGGGGCCACCTCCTGTTTTGTCTGCTCCTGTCCATTCAGCTAACCTCCCTGACCCCGCCCTCCTTGTCCAGCGCCGCAGTATCTGGCTCCCTTCCTGGTGACCAGCAATCTGACCACGATGTTCCTGGACTGGGGGAGCTCCTTCGCTCTCCACGGCCTTCTGAGGGACTTTGTGCTGATGGAGAACGGGCTTCGTATCTACAGTGGCTTCCACAGTTCACTGCACATCCCTCGAACCTCTGATAAAAGTATTCCCTCTTCTGAACCTCATAATCCCAAAATAACAATTTACACCTTGACTTTCTCACTAAACCACGAATGATAAGTTGGCCCCTTTAGCCAGTATGATCACCGTCAATGTCATCATGCTAATGTTCTATCTATCTATCTATCTATCTATTGTTCTTTTTATTCTTTCTTTGCTTATTATTTATTATCTGTTGAAGAGCTTTGATTTTGTGTGATACGTTGTTACCTTTCAAGGAGGTGTAGGTTTTGCCGTTGAATATTAAGCAGCCAGCCTTACAGATGGAGTCAGTGTTGGCTGTCCATCGGTGTAAGAAGCTCTGTGTTCCTGCAGCCTCCTTCTTCCAGGTCACCTGTAACACAGACACCGGCAGTGCCAGCAGTCCCTTGGTGACGTACAATACAGCCACCGGCGTTGGTGAGTCCATCGCAGTGCACATCGATGTCATGGACAGGTCACTGTCAGCAGTTTCTGCATGAGGATGTAGGACAGTATTTCCCAATCCGGTCCTCCGGACCCCCACACATTTCACATTTTTTACCTGGAACTGAGAAGTAGCAAGAATGTGGACTGTCTGGGGGGGGGGGGTCCCCGGGGACGTGGTTGGGAAACACCAATGTAGGAGACCTTTGGGGGGCTTGTGGTGATTCTACGTAAGGTGTCCATTAATCTGCTTTCAGTTTACCAGCATTACCAAGCCAGGCTGCCCTGGTCATTCTTCATAGATGCAGCAGGGCATCCGTCTCCTGACATTACATTATGTATCTCTGCTCTGACTGATGCCATGTAAAATTATATAATTTACTGTATAAACAAGTAAATCCTGTTAACATAGCTCATTATTCAGGTTGTTTTTTCCCCCACACATAATTGCTATATAAAGTCATATAAAGTACGCAATATTTAAAATATTATGATCAGGTCCATTTGACATGGTGTCCAAGTTACCAACTTCAGTATCCTGGAATTTTGAACATGTATTGACCGACAGAAGCTTTAAATAAGATCTTACTGTGCCGACTGTTTGCAAGCCGTAGAGCTCAGGGAAATGCCCGTGTTCCCCAGCCCCCATGGAGCCCACCCCGGTGGGGAAGACGGGCACGCCGGACTCCCGGCTGAACTTCCACACGGAGATATGGTTCATCATCCTCATGGTGGTCCTGTGCCTGCTCTTGCTTGCTCTGCTGCTGGGCCTGCTCCTGCAGAGAGCCCTCAGCAAGCCCCCCTTCGTACGGGAGCGCCCCCCGCTGCTGCCCCTGCAGAAGAGGAGCTCCATGGGCGTCTATCCCCCTACAGATACTTACACGGTGAGGCATCTAGACCAGCAGCAGCAGAATATTCACCTGCAGTACAAAATCAGAGAGGCTTAGCAGGCAGCATTGATGACTGGGGTCTGAGTTCTGTCTCACTCTGTGTGGAGACTGTATGTCGTTCTTTTGTAGGCTCCAGTTTCCTCTTGGACTCCACATACACGTAGAGTAGGGATGGGATTTGAACCCATAACCCTGAAGGTGTGAGGAATGACTGCCACCCATTGAACCACCATGTTCTTGTTCATAGTTGCTCTGCACGGTCAATACCTAAGGCTAATTGGTGTCTCTAAATTGCCTGTATTGTGTGTGTGTATGTCCTGAGGATGGATTGGCATTGCAGCCCTGTGCTTACTGGGATAGGGTCCTGTCCCTCTGTGGCCCTGGTCAGGATGTGCAGTTGGAATGAAAGAAAGAATCTGTTGTTTGTATTGAATCATATTTTGTTTTGATATAAGAATAGGTGCTTCTGCAAGGAAATCAGCATAGTCTGAGAGAACGCATATGTTTATATTTTTTTTAGCCACTAAAGAGGAAGTACAACAGAAATGAATTGAATTTGTGTTAAAAAAAAAACATTTCTCATTAATTCTGCTTTTTGATATGTGTGATTCCATCTAAAGACCGCCGTCTATCCATCTCCCAGAGTTGCAGGGGGGCCTGAGGCCTATCCAGGGTGGGATCCATTGTGGGTAGGATGCCAGTTCATCACAGAGCTTACACTGTAGGCCATTCAGGGACACCAGTTTACGACCTGCATGTTTTTCAAATGCAGGAGGAAACCAAAATACCCAGAGGGAACTTGTGAAACGCAGAGAGAACTAGACTCTACATAGGGATGGGATTTGAACCCACAACCCTGGAGGTGGGAAGGAGGAGTGCCACCCATTGAAGTACCATGGTCTTGCTCAGAGTTGCTCTTCACTGTCAATACCACAAGGGGGCAGTGATAAGCAGCAACAAAAAATGGTTTGAAAACACTTCCTAAGCAGAAGCACCACCTTGTGGATATAAATATATTCTGATACAAAAAACTAGAACGTTATTGTAAATGAAATTAGGCCTTATATAATTTACTGTATAAACAAGTAAATGCTGTTACCATAGCCCATTATTCAGGTTGCTTTGCCCCCCCACACATAATTGCTTATATAAAGTTTGACACCCTTTTCTCTCCTCAAGGTTTTATTCTTATTTAGACAAAATGCTCTTTTAGCTTTTTGTTATCCATCCTCGCCATTTTGTTTGGTGCCCCGTCTTCCCTCTTAATGGATCATTCCGGCAAAGCATCCCGGCAGTCTTGGCGACAGCGCCCCCCCCCGCCCCCCCGTCCAGCTCCCTAATGCCCATTCACGTGTCCCTCTTCGCTTGCAGCCCCCCCCCAGCTCCCTAATGCCCATTCACGCGTCCCTCTTCGCTTGCAGCCCCACGCCACGCCAGAGCCCACGGACACGTTCAGCAGTGTCACCCTGAAAGCCTTCTCCATGCGCGTAGAGGTAGGGGGCAGGAGTGTGCCTCTGCTTGCCGCCCCCCCCCCCCGCGGCTGGCTGTCTGCTCGCCTGGTCGTTCTATTCGTGGCTTTTCTCAGCACCTGCTTTGGGACTTGCTTCCATCTTCTGAGTTTTTAATCAATACAAAACTAACCTGGGAGCCTAATCAGGGGGTGTCACTAGGGCTGTACACTGATTAGTTTAAATAGTGTGTCTTCACTCATTTAATTAAAAT